AGATGAAAGTGGACTCTGGGTAGTGGGACAGCGCCTGAAGAACAAAAATCCCATGACAGTGGATTCTTCGCTGCAAAAGCTATTGCCCTACCGACATCATGTTACCAGACTCTTCATGCAACGAGCTCACACTTCTGGTCATAGAGGGCGTGATGCAACCTTAGCACGATTCCGCCAACTCTACTGGGTAACCCAAGGAAGCAAACTCGCTCAATCAATCAAGAGTAAATGTCAGATGTGCAAGCTACGAGAAGCAAAGTTCCTCGAGCAGCAAATGGGACAATTACCGGAAGCAAGATTGAAACCATCTCCAGCTTTCAACCACGTTATGATAGACCTTTTCGGACCCTACTCGGTTCGTGGAGAAGTACAGAAAAGAACAAGTGGTAAAGCGTACGGAGTAATCTTCACAGATCTAGTTATGAGAGCAGTCCACATTGAAGCTGTGTTCGGGTACGATACCGAATCATTCCTAATGGCCCTCAGCAGATTCGTCAGCGTTCGTGGTTGGCCCGAAATCATATATAGTGATCCCGGATCAGAACTAATTGGTGCGGAAAGAGAACTCACGGAAACCTGGAAGAGCATTGACCGACAATCCCTACATAAAAGTGGCACAGAGAATGGATTGACCTGGATCTTCGGCCCCGCTGATAGTCCTTGGTACCAAGGAGCTGTAGAATCCCTGGTGAAGAGTGCCAAGAGAGCTATTCATTTCGCAATCAATAACCAACGTCTTTCAGTCCAAGAGTTCATGACGGTGTGTAGCGAAGCCACGAACCTCCTCAATGAAAGACCTATCGGAACCCTCCCGATCGCTGATTCCGAATTAAACATCCTTACTCCCAACAGCTTGTTACTGGGCAGAGCAACGGCGAAGAATCCTGGTGGATGGCAGCCTAACGGTAATAATCCAGGAAAGCGTTATCATGTTGTCCAGATCGTGACAGACGAGTTCTGGAAGAAATGGACGGAGTTATACGCCCCAACCTTGGTTATTCGTCGCAAGTGGAATACAGCCAACCGTAACCTGCGCCCAGGAGATGTTGTAATAATCGCCGACCGTAATACCTTGCGAGGAGATTACCGTTTAGGTATAGTACAAGAAGTGTTTCCCAGTCAAGACGGAAAAGTTCGTCGAGTAAATGTGATGTACAAGAATTTTCAAATTGGAGAAAAGGTACAAAAATACAAAGGACATAACGAGGCTGTCATTGCGTCACGAAGTGCTCAGCGATTATCGTTATTAGTACCAGTGGATATGGATCAAGACCAGGAAACCAAGTCGGAAGCAAAAGAGAGTGTATGAACGGACAGTGACATTATATAGTATTGAGTGAACAATGCATTAGAGAAATTTACATTCAGATTTTAAGACGCGATCGCATCGAACCCAGTCCTTCCGGTGTATTGGGTTGTAGTAAAGTTGTAGACAATAATCTCTGCGATCGCCTTTTGAACGATGTTTTTTACGTTTTGTTAGAGCATGCGCATGAGAGCTAATATGGCGTGCGAAGGAAAACAGTGTTTTACCACTAATTACTATTTTGTAATTTTCCGTATATTTTATAATTAAAGTGAGTTGAAACCTGTTTTTCGCCTCATTTACTGGCAATCCCAGTACAATATTAACCAATACCAATCTATATTTATTGATCGATTGATATTGGAAATCGACAAGTAATCAATGACTTGTTTTGCTGTGACCTTTCATCGATTATCGATTTTTTATTGACCATTAACAACTTTAACCTTGTTCTGCCCATTCCTTTTCCACTGCAAATTCTTCTCCCAGCTTCACAGTAAACAAACATTTGTGATAGCCTTTAGCAACTGTCTTGTGAATTACCAAATTCACATATTCTTACCAGTGGCATAGCCAGTTCGATACTAGTAAGTGGGGGGGGGCGGCAGGGGGGGGGGGCATATTCATATATTCGTTTTCTACATCATTTTCTTTTGAAATTGATTGTTTTTACAGTCTCTGAATACGAATCCCCCCACTTATAGAGCTGGCACGCCACTGATTCTTGCTGTTCACGAGGCATTATTACTGGATTTCCGATGATCGGTTTTCAATTTTCATCGATTAATGACCCAGGCTTTTAATATACTGTATACATACATACCTTTGCGTATAATACTTGTTGAATGGAAGCTCCATTGCAAAAATATAGCTAGGAGGAAAAACACCTTTAAAAACCGTCAAAATCTATACATTCCCCTCGAGTACGTCTTGACAATACTATTTTTATTTTCATAGAACTTTTTCAAAAATGTTTTCAAAATTTTCTGTCCACTTACTTGGAAAAATATACATTAGAGCCCACAGTATTTTAGTTCAGATTCAGAGGTATAACAATGGAACTTCGTGTAGTACTACCTCATGTGCTGGAGGTATGCTATGGACTAAAGGAATACCAGGGCCTGCCTCCTCCGCAGGCCCTCGTTGTGTCATGGGAAGGTCACGATTTCGAGAGGGCCTGCGGAATCTTGTAAAATGAATAAATGTTGTTTTGAACCTGCTTCGTTAAAGAAGGCAGTTTTATTCGTGCAACGTTGGTGTGGACAACAAATAACCTTATCGTTAATTTAAAAAATGCTTCTTTCCACGTCCTAAGAGTCGCCAGTTTAATTTACAAGTTTCACGCCGCTTTTTTATATCTGTTTATATTCAAGATTATGTAGAAATTTACTTGCTGACGTGACGCCGGCGCCATGTTTTTTACAAGATTCCGCAGGCCCTCGCCAGATCGTGACCTTCCCATGACGCAACGAGGGCCTGCGGAGGAGGCAGTACCAGGGCGAAGGGCGAATGGCGAAGGGCGTTGATTTTATTTAGCGCGTCGTGCGCGCTTTCTATGCGCAGAACACAAATTTTAATTAAACTCGCTCGAGTCTTCGAATTTTTATCGAATTTCTAAAGCTTTTTCAAGTCTAATGTTACGCTTACATTTGTTTTGGACTTTGGCCACTGTCAGTTCTATATTTTTATAACGTTTTGGTTTCTTAGTGTGATAAATCTGTGTATATAGTCTATATAATGTGGTAAATGCGCCTAGCAGTAAACAGACTTGATATGAAATCTGATCTTAATTTACCTGTATGTCAATGAGACGCACATGTTTAATATATGTCACCTCTGATTGCCCTTTAACCCCTGGTGTTTGTAACTTAATTCTTCTCAGTTCCATTCACAGCTCACTAGTCGCTGCGAGTAATCACTGTGCTTGATATAATTTGTGCTGTTTACTGTAGTTCTATTTGCTTTTAATGCCCGCAGCAATCCCTACCTTGCAGGTACCCTAGTTATAGTTTATAATTAGTCGAATTAGCGAAAGTTGACCATATTCATGACGCGCTATTCATGACGCGAAAAACACACTGCCCAAAAATTCTTTTCGTTATTCTAGTAGATGTGTCATAATATTCAGTAACTGCAATAGATTGGATACCTGATGATGTTGCACTTTTGAGAAAAAACTATTTACCGCCGGCATCACAACACGAATATTTAATCGGCATTTTTAAAAAATCACAATTTTTTTTCTTGAAGTGATCAGAATAATTTTTGGTTTAGGCCAGTGCCTGAGCACGAAATAATAAAATGTATAAGTTTCAAGAAGTTGGAACAAAAATGCGAGATGAAAGTGAGATATAAAAAGCTCAAAATCACTTGCGTAATTAAAAGTAAACGTATTAATTAACTTGTTTTCGAACGCGTCCGAAAATAATTGCGAAAAAAATTTAAAAACTGACTACAATTCCAAAGCTAACTTTTTTGTTCATTTTATGAATCGGATTTCTTCGGTCACACAGAAAGTGTGAAGAAATTCTGTATTATCTTACGAAATTCGAGTGGTCGGTTCTTACACGGCTGGACTGCCTCTTAAAATTGATGGGCTTCAACAAGCGATTTCACTGAAGAATCGACAGTGAAGGGGGTGAATAGCAGCTATGTTGGGTGAAATGTCCAATCCTTCTTGGATTCTTTTCTTGAAAACCTTTAGTAGAGGCTTGAGGATGTAGGTATATCATGGGGAAAGGCAGACAGAAATGAAAGTGACAATCTCCATCGAAGAAAAAAATAAACTGATAGGTAGACTTTGATACACTTTGGAAGCATCCCTGCTAGCGTAGTATTCTCTCCTACTCATCATGTTTCCTCACTATGATAACTCGTCGTTCAAAATAGCACAAAATATTTTGGAAAATTCTTCACTCCTTTGCTATTAAATTCGCTCACGAAAAAAAAAACAACGCGCGTGTTATTGCCAGAAATGAGACTGGACCGAGTATAAACCGAGATGCCGCCAAGGACAGGCAAAAACAACGAGTTCTGGTAATACTCCTACCAAATTAATACTCCGAAGAAACGCGTTCCGGTAGTGTGGCCGAGTGGTGGAAGGCGCTGGTTTCAGGTACCAGTCATTTCGACGGCGTGGGTTCGAATCCCATCACTGTGAAATTCGGGACGTTTTGGCTTTGAATCCATCCAGAAAATATTAAAATTTAGGTACAAATACTTTCAACATTATGTCGTGCAAAATCGACTTTTACAAACTCAAGTCCGCGTGATTTTCTGCTGCGGACTGTATATCAGTTTGCCATTTCACAATAATTAATGGAGCTTTACTCACAATGCATTATTCGTCTTTGCTATCTACAGGTTCTGCCGAGACTTGAACTCGGATCCTTGGATTCAAAGTCCAAAGTGCTTACCATTACACCACAGAACCAGCTGCTAATTAACACGGCGCTAAATTGGCGGCGCAAGTTTGCAATTTTAAAGTTGCATTGCACGTGAGAGGACGTTTGCGTTCACTAAGAGTTCTGTTTTAGAAGCATCAATTCAAAAGCAGCGCGTGCTTGTCAGGTTGGCCGAGCGGCCGAAGGCGCCAGATTTAAGAGATTGTCGTGTCTTCTGGTTCACATTTGTGCGCTTGGGTTCGAATCCCACATCTGACAACAACGATTTTCTTGCCCCCCCCCCTTTTTTTGTATTAGCTGTAAACCATGTAAAAATGATGGAAGATCAATGCCCATCGAAGAGCCTTGATGGTGGTTAGGTTAGCATTGCTGCCTTCCAAGCAGTAGATCCGGGGTCGATTCCTGGTCGACGCAGCTTTCACTTTTTATAGAATTTCCACCGTTCTCCTTGCGATGTAATATAACACTTTTTATGACCCTGCGAAATTAAATCTTCATTTAAAATTTTTGTGAAAAATGTTTGGCTCTGAATCCATCCAGAAAATATGAAAATTTGGGAATAAAAATTTTTTCAATATTTTGTCGTGTTCACAATGCATTATTCGTCTTTGCCATCTAAAGGTTCTGCCGAGACTTGAGCTCGGAATCTCAGATGCAGTCATATTAAAACAGACAAAAAGAATCGCCGCGCATTTACGAAGCATGTTTTACTTCGTAATAGTGTTACAACGATGTTCATTTTTTGTTTTGTTTAAAAAATCAAAATCTGATGCTTTACATATAATATTTTATACTATCCTTTAATTGCGCCCCACCCCCTGTAAATTATTATCATGTGTATCTCCTATAGTGCAAAATGTTCTAATTTGCATAAATTATACTGACACGGTTTCAGGTTCCTGTATCGCTGTATTGTTGCATCGCTGTATCGCTTTTTAGTAGTAGCCCGAATGGCGACAGATGGATGGAAGACTGAAATTAACAGTTCTATCCGCGTTTCAAGACGGTTCAAACATATGTCTCAACACATTTTTTCATGCCTTTATAAGACATGTCCGCGTTTTCGTTAAGCATGGGATAAAACGGGGATATGATTCAAAAAACTTTTTCATGCCTTTATAAGTTATATCCGCGTTTTATCCAAAAGGAACTATTTGTGGGCCTTTTTCAGTTGAAAATGGCAAGGCAGAGTCAAAACTTTTAATAAGCAATCTGTAAGACTTAGTAAGTCCCCGCTGACGATAATCACCGCCACCAGGGTCATCAAGCGAAGGTGCGGTTAGTAGGTCCACATCACGATAATCATCCCTACTAGGGGTGATTATCGTTATCACCACTACCAGGGATGATAATCGTGATTACCCCTACCAGGGGTTATTATCGTGATCACCCCTACCAGGGGTGATTATCGTGATCACCCCTACGGATCATCAGGCGAAGATGCGGTTAGCAAGTCCGCATCACGATAATCAGTCCCTACCAGCACCGGGGAAAAACGTCTGCGCATGCACCAACTTATGAAAATATGGCGGAGAATTTGAATATCAATTTCTGAAACAAAAACATGTAGTCTAGGACCTGTATATGAGTTTGTATGCGTTTCATTTAGCACAGCTAATCTCAACTGTTTTAGGGTAAAATGACCATGGCGGTCAACATGGCATATGTGCCAAAAGCTGAATCCGGGACGAAAGTCCTGAAAATGACCCCGCCCTGAAACGGCAGTGTCGACATAGCTCTAACTTCAGAAAACAAAAAGCGATAGTCTTTCTGAAGTGCTTATAGTGTTTAGAAGGGTTGCTTTTAGGGGTGGTCATTGGAAGAAAAAATTTGTCTAAGTATAATATTTTACAAGAAAATGACCATGCACCACCCCAGGTAAATTGCTGATTATGCATAAAATAACTAATATGCCTGGCAGAAATTAAATATTCTTATTTCCTAAAAAAAATTATCATGGGGTTAAAAGCTATGCTTAATTTAATATAAATATTGTTGATTTCATAAGGATTGTCATTGTTTTCTTTAAATATAATAAATTTTATTTCACTTACCCCCCACGAAAACGCGATTTCAGCCATATTTTGCCGTCTTGTTTGCTTTTTATCGCCGAATCACGCAAATATCATCCAGTTATTGTACTTTTACATAATCATAAATGGCTGAAGAATATTTCAAAGGAGGTTTCATCCACTTTTGAAACAGTGCAGTGTATTTTATCTTCGATTATGTGTCCTTCGATATCTCGTCAAATTGCCTCCATTTTAATGCTCGCCGCTTCTCTGCCCGATAAATGCCACTTCTTCGTTTTCATATGTATTTAGATTACATTATCCCAACCTCGTTCCCAGAAGACCCTGGTCGGGGCTGGTCACGTGACCCCGCAGATTCTGCGTGGTAAATTGAATTGATCTCAGGGAGTGGTGGTAGAGGAGTCTGTTTGTTACGTTTGGAAAATTGCAATTTTATGTGTTATAATTTCGGGTGATAAAACTGTAATTTGCAACAAGAAATCGTGAAAGGAACAGTTTTAAATTTCGTATGCACACATGACACAACTTCCTGCTATACTGAATGTCATCAATAATAAGTGTTGCGGTACATTTCAAGCAAGAAGCTGGATCATATTTCACTTCCAAGGACTCCACACGCGCCTGGCTTGCGAAGTTGAGCACGCATCGCCGTAGAAACATATATGTCTTCCCAATTCTATACCGACTGATCGACCAAACGATACTAAATGAACGATATGGTTATTTATTGTTGAAGTGTATCCTATCCGATATTCAACAAAGCCAAAGGATTTATTTTATAATGGAAGCTTTTCCAAACATCGCTAACTGTGTGTGTAAACAATAGTGCTATTTTGACTGTGAAAGCACAGGATTAAAACCCGTTATGGACTGTAAAATTCCTTTCATTTACATTGCTGAAACTCAACGATCAAGAATGATTATGTCGAAGACTCGAAGTATAGCTATCTGTCATCAGACGAACACCGAGACTCCACTGTGCGTTTCGGGCCGTTTCCGTGCGAGCGGTACATATAACGGCTTGAATATTTAGGACGATATATGCACCAGATTGCACCAGACACTGGTATTGTACTTCATAGTAAATTATTTCATATTTTGTGTATTACAGTAATTTACAGCAGGTACAATAATTTATAAACCTTATAAAGACCTTTCAATTTCATTCCCATTGCCCATTCAGGACTTTATATTTGAAGAATAACCCGTAAACCCGACAGCTTCTTTCGACTGCTGTGAGTCATCAATATTTAAATCAAGAGTTTAAATAATCTTTATCGTATACTGTATAAATGACATTTTAGCAGTTTCACCAAACCATACTAGAGGCAAACAACCTATCTATCAATGGAAACTTTAAAAGGCTTATTAAAACTCATTAATTAAGTATTCTATGAGCTGGACTTCGTGCGCATATATACAGTTTATGAATTATGTATATATATATATATATATATATATATATATATATATATATATATATATATATATATATATATATATATATATATATATATATATATATATATATATATCCCTGATAAAACGTATGGACACTTTATACCAAATATAATAAAAAATACTTTGCTAAACCTTTTCGGCTATCATTCCTTTGCATTCAAGGGGCGAGGGTGAATGGCTATATAATTCATATCGGAGATTCTGTGCAATCTGATTTAGTGATTTTGGCTTCAACAAACAGGTACTTGTGCAGACAAAAAAGGAAATGCATAGGCAGTTGTGAATTGTCGTATAATTCTTTACTGTTGATCCCAAACAATTTTGTACATGTACGTTAACACTCCTTCCTACTTTGTGTTGAATATAAACGATGATAACCTTTTTAAAAAAATCTAGAGCACTATGTCTATAAACCGTTTTAGAATCAATAGAATGGACATTCAATGTCTATTTGGCTAGTGTCCAAATATGTAACGTTTGCTGTAGGACCAACAAGGCGCTACGCCTACGACCTACACAGTCGCTTTTGAGACCTCTATTTAACAAAATTTATACCGTTTCCATATGACAACAATTCAATGGCATATTATAAGAATATTATACGTATCTGAACCAGAGCCAGATACAGAAACGTACGCGTGAAATGAAACTGCGCCCCAACCCCGCGAGACAATAAAAGGGCAAATATTTCCAAGCATATACGATCATACGTTTTCGTTGCTTAATTTTCTGACTTGTTTGTTGCTATAAGAGCAAGTATTTTGAAGTATATATGATTCTCAAAGATGATTGTATAGAGGTCACTCCTTGCAATCGAAGTGTGAGGTGCGGAAGTGGAAACATGTAATTTGATACTTTTCCATCCCCCTCTTAGGTTATCAATTTTCTATCGGTCACGTGACCAGCCCCGACCAGGGTCTTTGCTTCCCAAGAGCAAAGAGCCTGGGAACGAGGTTGACATTATCCAAGACAATCTCGTACCCAGAGCCATCGTTGAGTGGCTCTGGCCACACGAGTTGAGTTAATTAGAAAATACGGTAAAAGTACAGTATTTTCCAATTAACTATTTCGTACCCATTCTCCGGGAATTCGCGCGCTATAGTTTTCAAGAGGAGTGGAGAGCTAACTTTTTGCTGAAAATATCAATAAAATCGCAATTTTTCCCGTCAAAAGCATTAAAATATGTTCGGCGCAGTTAGTGTGAACAACAAGGATACTGAGTGCACGTGTGATTTCCGTTTCACAAGTAATTTGAGATGATTGAAACACCAGCTTGTACACATGTCAACACTCATCGAGTCATCGATCAAATATTTTGTCTCAAATGGCTTCTATTTCCTTCAAAATGTTCTGATTTCTTCTTAAGGTATAAGTACGTTTAATTATTTGTTATATAAAAGTAATTTAATAACTCTCAGCTTTATTAAATAGGCTATTCTTGAGCAAGCCTTTAATTCTTTAATTTGTTACAATTTTAATATATTGTTCATGTCATCATTATTTTGTTTCAAGGTTAATTTTTTAACCTTGGGCTCTGAATTTCCATCCTAATTGTAGTCTAGTTAGAATACCACAAAATATATTGTGTACCCCTAAAAATGCAGCAGATTTTCAGAAATTCTATAACATCCTGTGAGCTGATCATACCCAGTATTTATTTAATACTATTATACATGCATTATTATGAATCTATCATACCTAGGGAATTTAAAACCATAATGCTGTTTTTTATACAATGATAAAATAAAGATTTTTTTCTCAATAAGGAAGGTCTGTACTGCTGTAGCAATTAAGCAAAAGCCTGTAGCAGTATACCAGTGTGTGTTTAATTTTTACTTAACTTGACTATTTTATAGCTTTAGTTTTACATTTCTTTCAGATACACCTGGGACTGCAAATGTGATAATCTTTTTATTATGTCAATACCTCCAGAAGCAATGGAGAAATCAGTCTCAAGTTAAAATTATACAGTCCTGTATTCTAGATCAGTAAACAACTTGGCATGTCGCATTATAATGAAGAGTGTAATATAATGAAATACTCAAGAATGGAATAGTATCGTTGGAGAAGTGCATTGCTCATTAATTATGTGATAAAAAGTAGTTACTGGTTAAAGAATCAAGAATCACACCTGGTCTGACTAATAACAATGTCCCGTTTGAATAAGTGTAATATCATTTATACTTTCATGCTTGTATTGCTTGATAGGCTGATGTGTAGAATGACACATTATTGAAATCAATAAAGGTTTTTCAGAACTTGCAATTCATTTTATGGTACCAGGGGAACCATATGACATCATTAAGTTTTCCCAGGGGTCCCTATGACATCATAATTATTAAATGGGAGAGAGAGGTGTTTTACAATATATTACACTTTATTGCATATTATTTGGCACTGACACAACTCTTTGTGCTTTGGAGGTCCCTTTTCAGCTGGGCTTTTGCCTGCATGGCTGCATCCTACTTTTAGCAGTCCTGAAATTGTTAAAGATGTATGAAGTTATATGATAGTTCACTAATAAACCTAAAATTTGGTTTTAGTAGTCTTATTCTGAAAAAGTAAAGTTGTTTTTGTTGAGCAGTGGACTTCAAATACAATTGTTAATTGTTGCACACTCAGTTGTCCATTACAAGAATGAACATCTTATATTTATATATAGTACTCCCTGAAAAAAACAAGCAGAAATTCAACGTTTCAAGCGAAAGCCCTTCATCAAGAGTTAGCAGCCAACGTTGAGTTTCTGCTTGTTGTTTTTTTCAGGTAGTTATACTATATAACCACTCAGCACAGCCATACTGTCGAATAGTTGACAATCATTTATTTACTAGTTTTATTGGCACCATTGCATAAATTGTATAAATTGTGTAGATGGTTTCATATTATTACATACTACACATAGTTTCATATTATTACATACTGCTATTATTAAAGACCATGTAAAGTCTGTTCTGCGCATGCGTTCTGCAGGCCTACATTCCAATGGTCGGGACCCGACCATTGGAATGTTATTAATATTTCGCACCTTCCAAACTTTCTTGAATTGAATCTCTAGTCTGTATTCATTTACAAACATAGCAAACCAGAAGAGTTAAAAATTCAGTAAAATGCATATCTAATATTTTACAACTATAGCACTGGGTTCAGACTTCAGAATGTAAACAAAGGGTTTGTTTACTTTACATACTTTACATGGCCTTTAAATTAATGAAACCTTTTTGGGCTGCTATAAACACCGATGTTTCTGACAGAGTTGTACAGGCAATACTGTAAACAGAAACAATATATTGCATCATCAAACAATTCTATCAAACGAATTGACAAGTTGCAAAAGAATCCAAATGCTGTTTAATTGTTACATTCACACCATGATGATTCATACATTTACAGTTTAATTAAAAAATCCCAAATCTTGTATAAATACAGTCCTAGCATACGTGTATGCTTGTAAGTCTTGTCATCATTCCCATCAATACTCACTCAGAGTGAACCAAGAGTATGAATTATTACCATAACGAAGGCTGTTATTTTGCCCAAATGAATTCAAGTATGCATAAATCAACTCCTTAATCCCTTCACCACTTTTTCGGACGAAAAGCAACAAAAAATTGGTCAAAATAAGCAACTTTTCAGGCCAAATAAAGCAAAATATATCGTATTCACTCATATTGGCCGCGCTCGTGAACGCCACAGGGGGTATGGGTTCAATAACTTATGGATCGACCAATCAGGATCGTTTTTCAATCACGTGTGGCCAGAGCCACTCAACGATGGCTCTGGGTACGAGATTGTATCCAAGAGTACTTCATTGTAGAATAGTCCCAATCCAAAAATTGGAAATATTATTTGTACTTGGGAGGAAAAAACGATTGACCTGTTATAATTCGACTGAAAAAACGATTGACCTGTTACAATTGACCTGTTATAATTCAAAAGAAATAATTTAAAAGTCAAGCGCAAGTTCGCGAAAACACCTCGTGGGTTACATGTACATAACAGGGGGGGTTGAATATTTTTACGAAACGTTTGTTCGCCACCACAGGCCACAGCAACCTAAGTTAGGGACCGGTCATTATTTATGGCGAGGGGTGGCACCGAAGAGAAAAGGGTTGGGTAAACTAAATTTTGAGTAAGTAAAAGGTTGGGTAAATGAAAAACAAAACAACTCAAGGGTTGGGTAATAAAAAATTATTGTCATTTCCAAAGCATGACTCACTGAAGTATTGGGGACTAAAAAGCAATGGCAACAGTAGGCCCTACTCTGGGGCGATAACGAGATAATGCGAATTTAAGCAATTTTAGGTGATTTAAGCAAAATCTGCAATTTAAGCAATGCGAGTTTGAGCTATATAAGGCAATGTAAGAAAACAATTAAAATTTTAGGGAATGCTGTTTTAGGTGTTTAGAGGTAATTTCAGAAATATACAACTATATCCCTGATGACTCCAATGAATTACCATTAACCTATGCCAAGCATCCAAACATGAGTGTTCCCACAAACACACACACACATACAGTTATGAAGCAAAATATTATATACAATTTAACAAAAAAATTTGAAGTCTGCTTGAGGGGGTTCTGGAAACAAACAATACACTGTATGCGCATGACGATCAAGTGTTTAAAGGGTAAATAAGCTCAATATTCATGACTTTTTCCATCCATTGTCTATTTCGAAGCCATTGGGGTATTATTAAATTCATGACACAACTATAATACATGACCACATGTTGACATCATATGCAATTGCAAACAATTTTCAAAGGAGTAGGGTACAGAATTGCAATATAACAACATATAAGTAAATTATACAAGTCATGAACTTACCAGTTTGTGTTGAGTTAAATTTAAACATTTTTATGACACCAAATATTATTTATTTACTTGCAAATCAAAACATTTTAAAATTCTCGTGTTTTGTTTTGTATTGCGCCCGCGCTATATTAATGGTATTAACCGCTGTGAATATGATATACATTTTTAATACATTACATTTGCGCCCAAAAGTTCAGGAAGTGAGTTTCTAGAAAGGATGATTTCAGGTATGGGGAATTTAAGCGATGAGAGTTGCAAAACTTGCAAATGTAGTCTGACTAGTTTCTTTGACGTCATCATGCAACTATTTAAAGGTGATCTACAGTCCGATCTGCGCATGTGCACAAATGAGCCCACTTTTTATGATACAAACAGTTTAACTATGTTTTGAGTTCTTGAAAAGCCTAATTGTTGTTTCTTGCTCATTTATTATACTCTAGAAGCTTGAAAATATAAATAGTTGTCGAATAAAGCTCAATATTTTGGACACAAAAATGTAAACAAAGGCTTTGTTTACATACGGACTGTAGATCACCTTTAATATTGTGCTACATTCATCATTCAATTTATTCGCAGCAATTAGCCTTCCATAAGCCATACAAACGATTATAGCTTATAGCCCACCTTGCCTTTAACATTGATCCTATATATAATGAATTAACATAGCTAACTTGATTATGTTGCTAGTCAAGTTTGGGACCTATGGGTCTTCTAGATCCTAGAGTAGCACAATTAATATAAATTTTCCGTAAGGCGGTAATATTAATTAAGACCAGTTGTTCTTATTTATGCATGACCTTTGACTATTAAGTGGCCAAAAATTGTGCCTACAGTAATCAACTTATTCCACTATACAGGTTGCATCACTTTTGATTGCAAAACACCCGGGTTTATTATATATGGATTTGCTAGCAAAATAGCAGCAATTGATGAACTTGGTGTTATACTAAGATTTACTGAATGTGTAAAGAAACAACGAAAAGTATATATTAATCAGAGTCATTATCTTGATCAATTTCCGATGGGATCTCCAAAGAAAGTAGCTACATGTGCAGACAACATGAAACTTCAGACTGCAGAAAATTTCACAATCCGTTATCAAACTTATGTCACAGAAGTGGTAAAGGACATATGTGACAACTGAATGGTACCTTTTGTAAATTTTTTGGCCAGGGGTGGGTATTTATTTTTTAATTGATATTTGAGGTTGGGTAATCATTTTTTTTAACTTTTTAATGGTTGGGTCAGCAAAATTTTTGCTACGAAAAACATTTCTCTTCGGTGCCACCCCCCGCCATAAATAATGACCGGTCCCTTAGGTACATTATATTTATTGTATATTTGTGATTTTTGATAAAAACAATAAATATTTGCGTATATTTATCATCAATTATAAAAATACAAAAAATACAATACATTTAGTTAGGTTGCTGTGGTGGCGAACAAACGTTTCGTGAAAATATTCATCCCCCTTGTTATGTAACCCACGAGGTGTTTTCGCGAACTTGCGCGTGACTTTTAAATTATTTCTTTTGAATTCTAACAGGACAATTGTACTGGGAGGTTTTTTCCTCCCAAGTACAAATAATATTTCCAATTTTTGGATTGGGACTATTCTACAATGAAGTACTCTTGGATAATGTAATCTAAATACATATGAAAACGAAGAAGTGGCATTTATCGGGCAGAGAAGCGGCGAGCCATTAAAATGGCGGCAATTTGACGAGATATCGAAGGACACATTATCGAAGATAAAATACACTGCACTGTTTCAAAAGTGGATGAAACCTTCTTTGAAATCTTCTTCAGCCATTTATGATTATGTAAAAGTACAATAACTGGATGATATTTGCGTGATTCGGCGATAAGAAGCAAACAAGACGGCAAAATATGGCTGAAATCGCGTTTTCGTGGGGGGTAAGTTAAATAAAATGTATTATATTTAAAGAAAACAATGACAATCCTTATGAAATCAACAATATTTATATTAAATTAAGCATAGCTTTTAACCCCATGATAATTTTTTTAGGAAATAAGAATATTTAATTTCTGCCTGGCATATTAGTTATTTTATGCATAATCAGCAATTTACCTGGGGTGGTGCATGGTCATTTTCTTGTAAAATATTATACTTAGACAAATTTTTCTTCCAATGACCACCCCTAAAAGCAACCCTTCTAAACACTATAGGCACTTCAGAAAGACTATCGCTTTTTGTTTTCTGAAGTTAGAGCTATGTCAACACTGCCGTTTCAGGGCGGGGTCATTTTCAAGACTTTCGTCCCGGATTCAGCTTTTGGCACATATGCCATGTTGACCGCCATGGTCATTTTACCCTAAAACAGTTGAGATTACCTGTGCTAAATGAAATGCATACAAACTCATATACAGGTCCTAGACTAATGCTTATTAATTGGTCAAAAATTAGTAAAACAAACGAGAAAATATAGCAAATGGGTAGACTAGACATTAATTGAAAGCGTCCTCGCATTTAAAGTATGGAATGAAATAGAATTCATGTAAAAAATTGTTGATTTTAACGGACACGACTTCGAAAATGTTTGCAAAATTATTCAAAACAAAAATTCAAACTAAAAAGTTAAGAAAACTCTCGAAAAGTTAAGCTTCTTAACCCACTCAAATTGTAGAATAAATCCTAAAGTTTAATTATTGTGAACACGCAAATTTTTTATATTTGGCGACACAGTTTTTTTTAAAGAAATGTATCTCAAACGAAAATTCGGAAATTCTCATTGCTTAGTTGATAAACAAAATGTTTCAGACGATAAATTTGTCAACAATCACCTTTAGTCCACGTTCTTGTACAATACAATTTCTTGAACCTTCTGGCTGTATTTATTTCTAGTTTTTAGAATGACATGTTTATTTTTGCGCTTGAAATCTGGCTGTAAAGACGCACAATGAAGTCACTCCTTTTTACCGCCATTTTTAGCCTTCGGAAACGTTCGGAACAGCTTCTCATCAAGTTCGCAATACTATTACAGGTAAAGTTGACGCATGCGCAGACGTTTTTCCGCGGTGTTGTCCCTACCGGGGTCATCAGACGAAGTAGAAAAGGATGTTGTCAAGGCGCATGCGCAGTTTCTCTTCCTTACGGCTCTGTAACGACAATGACTGATGACGTAATATAAATGAGGATATATATACAGGGTGTCTAAAAAAAACGCTATGGAAGTTCAACAGGCTGTTATGCATCACAAACTTGGCTAAACAATTCAATTTTTACATGGAACAAAAGAACAATTATAACGCGAGCCTGCTGCAAGGTACTTGCTTCGTAAAACGTTTTGATTGCGAATGTTCTCTGTTCAGTGGTTAATTAATTGAACTATGTTTAATGCAATAATGACGTTCTTATGGTCTCACTAAGACGAAGATTGACGAGTTGAGCTTATTTTAGATAATTTAACATTCAATTTTAATTCCCTCTTGGGAATTGTTTATGTTTCGTTTTCCATGCAATTCCCAACTGTGGAAGAATGTGATTTCGACCGGCAATTTTTATTTGACGAGTATGTGGCCATTTCTCAAGAGTATCATTGAGTATCATTTTTCAAGAGTATCATTGAAAAGCTAAATAACTGTTCTTTCGTCCTATGTAAAAATTCAGTTGTTTAGCCACGTGTATGATACACGACAGCCTGTTGAATTTCCATAGCGTTTTTTTTGCACCCTGTATAACAACAAAAACCGTGAGTTTGGAAATAAATAATTTCGCTCTCCGAACAAACATAACACTGTGTAAAATTTCCAATCATCTATTTCTATACTTATATTACATACGCATGTGTACACAATTTTCGAAACCGGGACGATAACTTAACGATCATGCATCTACAGTAAAGCCCTCATGACAGCCAAAGTGAACGTACCCAACATGGTATGTGCCACAGCCAGCATAATTTTTAAGGCTAGCATGTGAACCGGCATACCGAACTGAAAAACATCACTAGGATAATGTTAATGATTCATTTGTGTTTTACATGCCGCGTTCAAAGACATCAGCATAGATTTCAGAACGGTCTACTTGATCTCTTACAAAACAGGATATGGCACCACCGAAATTTCTTAAAGTATTATAGTTCATTATACTAGTATTTGCAAAAGCACGTTAATTAAAACAGTTGCCATGGCCCATGTGAAAAGAAGGCTGACATCCCTCAAATTTTTGCTTTACTATTGAAAAGTAAAATATCCCATGAATGAAACGTATTTGAGAATTTTGAATAGAATTCGTTGCATAAAAAGTATTGTTCTTGCTCCTTTTCGCTCAAATATAGTGCAATTTCCTTCCACTGATGTCCAATTCCTTCGAACTCTCCCCAGTCTTTTGATAATGCGTTTACTCGTGCATTTTCCGACATTGACAGCTTCAGTCAGTTATAGGACTTGATGTATAGTGCTAATTCCATGGGTAGCACGTTCCCGAGTTTGAATATTGTAAACGATATTACAAACATTTTGCAAAATTTAAAAGCCAGACCAAATTAAGTGCCAGAATTAATAACGAAATGATTAATAACGAAATGTAAATCAAAGGCTTATAA